CAAAATAATTTCACTCTTCAAAAGGAACTGGAACAGTAACATTTTTCATGTTTTCATATGAGCTTCAAAACATTGAATGACATAAATGCTGTATGATGAAATGGATCAGAGAACATTAGAATGGCATGTGTGACGTGTGAATGACACGTGTAATGGTCAAAAATATATAATCACTATGTTAGTTAACTCATGACCAGACACGTCAAACTGGTACCGATAGATTTATATCTAATATGTAAAAATTCAGTATTTCTTAGTACCTGAAATAGAAAACACGACTTTGGAATGAGATGTTTTAATCTGAGATTAATCTGTTAGGTAGCAGTTTACTTAAGTAGAACTTAAATCAACTTCAAAAGATTGGTCATTCGCAAAGTGAAGCAGATTTCACTTATACTGCAGTAAACAGTATGGGGATACACAACGAAACATACCACTTATGTGATAACAACTCCCTGTTTATTGCATGGAGCGGCATGTCGATGTACAACGTTCAGGATAGACAAGCTGATTGAATGTTGATTGATTCCATCACTTGGACAAAGGAGTGGATTTAGACTTGTTGATCTTACTCTCCTCATGCCCCCAACGATGTGTTACTTGCTGAATCACCTGGTGTTAATTTGCTGCTAGTCACTATGCATATATACTTCTGTTTACCTGGTAACTGTTATCTTGATAACGGCGTGAGAATATACATGGAAACTCCCCTCTATCGACCTTTGGTCCAAACAGATGAGTTAAGAGAAACGTTGATGTCCCGTCCGTTAGCAAATTAACATTGGATTATAGAGACAATGATAGGCCTACGTGTTGATAGAAGAGGATATTCCGGATTATGCGAATGAGAGCACACCTAATGAGAAAACGAGCCAAATATATGTATAAAGATAGTGTTTCATTTCAGTCTCAGCATATAAACATTGAAATATAAAACACATAAAAAACATAGAAGGCGTAAGCCACGAGTGGTAACGGGAGACTATATGGACAGATTTTATTTAATCATGTTACAACATGCTACATATTACAGGATTTTTTATATAAATAGTTGTATTACATCATATTATGAAATGTTTCAAAATATTACATAATTATAAATATACATACACATTTATAAGTACATTATAAATATATTAAAGATGTGAAAGAAGAGACGCTGAATCAGCAAACTGTCTAACAGTTAACATTCCATTTTATTTTGAAACTGGTGTCTCAGTTCTTGAAGATGTCGTTCAAGGTATCGGTATTTCTTCGTCGTGGGTTGTCTTTGGCCTTCGGCATATTGCACCAACGAGGTGTAGGAATAAACTTATGTTCAAGTTGAGCATTAGCCATTTCGAAATCGAATGTACACTTTCATGCTTCTTCTCATTACATGTATATATCCCCATGTAATTAGAGGGGAACTGATCCAGAGCGATTAATGTTTCTCGCCAACAGTCTAAGTACCAAACCAAACTGCAAGCTTGTCGGTATCTGCTCCCTCGACCGTGACGGACACAGGGACTGGACTTCTGGCCACCTTGACAAAATTTCTTCAACCCAAACAGCGGGACATTAGAAAGGGTGGATGCTCATCAGATGCTGTTACATGTATTTGAGAATACCCGCAGTAGTTCCTGTCTGATTGCAATAAAGTATACCAGCAGTGTATATGCTTTTCGGATTTTTTAATGCATAGATGGCATAGTGACTGATCCAATTTTTCAATTTGATCTTATTTCTGTGTTTTTTTACCTCGATATTTAATCATGCCATGTAAACATATGATGTCTATTACATATTATATTTATGACAAATGAAAATGTACTTAGGTATATACAATTTTAACTTCAGTACACATCCAATGCTTATATGTATTTCTTATGCAACAATGAAATTCCGTTCGTATCCTCCAAACAGTGTCGGCCCATAACTTTTTTCAGACAATTAAGATTGCATGCAATTCAGCGATTACTATCCCCTTTGCTGTAACCAGCTGAGTGTTTGGTGGTATAAACCTACACATCTTATTTGTCATCATTCACTTGATGGTCAATTAATGCATTTATAACAGGTATGATGGTAATACCACTCAGGTTACCCGCCAAAGGTTCCCATTTCGCATTTCTTGTGTCTGGAGTAAATACATGTACTCAGCATAATGAATTGATGGTCTGATGTGACAAATGTATTACATGTTATGTAATATGCTCATGGAACTGCAGCAAGACGATTTATCAGCTGAGATACAAAACAAACATTGATCAAAGGATTAACCGATAACACGCTGATTGATTAATTACTTTTTTCTTGCACAGTGGATTTGTCAAAAGGTAATGTTTATGTATGTAGATTTACTAATCTATACTGATTACACCCTGTCCTGTACCCTGTACCTGTGTAAAAACAACATCTTTCCTTCAATGTATTAACCGCCAGTAAGTTGATGGGGTGTTCCTCTTTGCCAGTCGGGCAAGTTGTTTATTTAAGGCGTAAGAGGATCACAGACCATGTTAATTAGCAAGACAATGGTACGGGTGGGTGGGGAGTGTGGGGAGGAGATGACCAAGAAAAACACAAGTGGATTTAATGCTCATTATTGGCTAATTAGATTACCTTTTTAAAGAATGGCGGACATCATGCAATTAGTTGACCAATGAGATTATACACCAATGTGAAAACTGAATCGATGTATCCCTTTTTCGGGTATTAGACTGTTAAAAGACACTTGGCATGGAACGGGATTCTTTGTCAGCTGCAGATCAATGGCATATTGTTCCTTTATGTGGAGGTAGTGTCCCATTTTTGACAGCGTCTTGGTCACTGATTCGCGAAGTTTCGCTCTCAAACCTGGGATAACTAGCTGCACCAATTAAGGGTAGTTATGTTAATGCAATCACCTGAGAGAAGTACAGAACAAGTAAAATTCTTCAACACTAATACGAACTAATACGAGACGAACTGCCAGCAGGAATGGTACCATTATATGGAGATATTAGTGCCTGAAAACAGCCTCAGTCACTACAATAGCAGATGGGACTGTTGTCAGAAGAGGGGACAAACAGCATACACATCCAGACCAAAGCTCTATTGGCTCCTATATCCAAATTTGAGGCTGTCAAAATCGGGACTTAACCTATGTGGATATTGATGGATACATTCCTCGAACAAGGTAATAACCTGACATTGTTGCAGACTTTAGTCGGTTTTATTTCTAATATTTGCATTTTGTTTTTATTCATTTGTGGTAGCATTCAACAGAATCATTTGTTTTCGCCGTAATGAGACAGACAACATACACTAGGTCATACCTAGGGTGTGTGTGAAATATGATTCTTGTTTGCATTCTATAAAATGTCTAGATATTACAGTCATGTTATAAATACGCTATAAGTATAATCGTATGCTTAAGTTTCAAAATGCATGCCAAATATGGCAATATAATAATTAGGATTATAAGACAAAATATATAGACATACATTGACTTCGTTTTTTTTCAGTCCTGACATTTTTTACCACTGGCAGATGATTAAACTTCAAAGTGTTTTCATTTCATTTTCAAAATGATGGAAATATTATCGAGTAAAAAAGATTTTATTTTTGTTGATCAATCTACACCTATACGATCAATTGCGCATGCGTGTTGTGCAGCAAAGGTCACGAACCAATCGAAAGTACTGGGATATCATCCGCGTACTCAGGGGAGAAAAGCAATAACAAAAGCAACAACCAGTGCGCGGAAATTGCTCTGGATCAGTGCCTTGTTAAATGTGTTTACCATATGATTGTTTTGATCATGTTTTTACACGGTCGGCTTCAGTGTGCGATGTGTTCACTTCCATCAACCACCAGCTTGTAATAACACGTCACATGAGATTAGCCATGTGCTAAAATAACACCCAAACTTTAAAGCGTACCCCTTGTCAATGTCCTGAGCCTTATAAGAATCGAAAGGTCGGCTTCCTGAGTCGACATCTCAAACTATGGTATGTAAGTGGTAATAATTCCCGAGCATTAGAGAACAGATTGGCTTGTTTGGAATTTAATGCTTTTCATAAACTAGAATCTCATAAACTATTTGTCTCTGGAATCATCTGTGATATGAACTTGAGTAGTGGTTTCTCTAGAAATTATTTAACGTTATCTAAAATTAAACATTTAGTCACCTTTTATTGTATATGACCAAATTAATTAGTTACACTATGAAGTTTTTAAGAAGGGATTTATTTGGGTTCTTTTTGCCCCAGTCCGCCTGTGTGTGGACAATATAACCAATTATCTATTATTAAGTTCATGATATTTCGTGAATACACCAACTGCATAACACCGTCTCTGACCACAAACCCAAACGGGTTGCTCTCTATTCGCTCACAGTCTTAAAACAACATTTCATGGTCTGTTGACTGTTGATTTCGCAATGATAAACCACCTAAATGGTCCATCCCTTGTGTCAGGTGTTAATTAGAGGGTACCATTAAAGAATGTATTCTACTACAATAAACTTTTATTTAATCAATGATGTAACGTAGGTCTATGTAATTTGTGTTTATGCAAACCGTGACAGGTCAAAAACTATTTGCGCTTTTGTGGATAATAAGTAAACCATACACTTAAAACTGTATTTTGGAAAATGCTAGCCATATCAGGGCAAATATGACAGTTAATGCCAATTTTTGACACCTAGAACAACAAGGATGCAGACGAGAGAAGTTATACCAGGAATAATCTACAACGTCTTATAGTCTCCCTGGTTATAGTTGATCGCATAGGAGGACGAATACACTCATAGGAGGACGAATACACAGTCTATACACTCACGGGGATCCTTGGGAAAAGGAGAAACTGAAAGAAGTAGTGGTAAAATCCTTCCTAAATTTCCAAAGATTTCCAAGCCTTGGAAATATCATCTTTCCAATTTTGGAAATTTTTGGAAATATCATCTTTCCAAATTGGAAATTTTTGGAAATCACCATTTTTTTTCTTGTACAGTATCCGATGGTCGTTGGATGACTTACCGATTCCCGTTTGTGTTTGACCTTCATTAAAGTTGGCGTCCACGTCGTTCTCAGCCCTTGATATCAACCTTGAGATCCGTTTGAACTGCCTGTTTTCAGAGACGTCTACACACTCTGCGTACTTGAAGAACCTTCTTTCTAGATTATTCAGAGACTTGTTCAAGGCTTTTTCCATTTTTTTTCGAATGTTCTTTTCTAACTGTTTGGCCGTCTCTTCCACGTTGACCTGAGGGCGGACGGAGGCCTTCACCTTCTCATGGATGTGCTCAAGAAGCCTCAAGGTGAGGTCCTCAACGTAATTATCACGTGCCATTGTGATGAACCTGCAACAGTGGAATTAAAAGTGAAAATGACAGTATGATAATGAAAGGGGATCATTTCCAATGATAGAATTTAAAATTGAGAGTTTGGGGAATCATATATAACACACGACGTGTAGTCAGTTTAAGTGAGTGAGTGAGTTGGGTGTATGCAACGTTGCTTTGAAAACTCAACTTAAAAAAAACACATTTTCAGGTTGAAAAGTAAAATATATAGTCATTTCGACACTTGACTATCTTCTTCAGACATTCGTAACCAAAGTAAATAAAGATTTAAGACAGTGTTGTAACATTTGTCAAATTTGGGATTTCATTTTCTCAGTTAAGTACAGATTCAAGTACCTTTTGGATCGAGTCCCATACGGGATTCGAACCAACTCTCACAGAGTAAGGTCTCTTATAAGAAACAAGTTGTAAATGTTAGTTACCTGCATTACTTCGGGATTACCTCCAACATTAAGCAGACACCCCGTGATATCATAAAGTATTGTTCAAAGCGGCGTAGACCCCACCTCACTCACTCCTTCTTGAAACAACATTTACATACTTCTTCAAGCTCTAGTTTCTAGTAAATGAGTTCTACATTTAGATCCGGTTCTCACCCAACTGACACGGAAGAGCAACAACGGATGATGGCTGTATGGTAAACATGTATTTTCATGATAATGCACACACTATTTCCATGGTGAAATACAAGCGTTGTACCTCGCATGCTCAGAAGTTGTTCGATCAACGTTACAACATTCAGGATCTCAGTAAAGGTTTCAAAAACGTTTATGCTAGACATGTGAAGGGCATTTCAAAGCTTGACACATCAGCAACAATGGCAGAAAGTGATCTCTGATGCACTTCCGCCTTTTGACTTATACCGTACGTTCCCGAACGTTCTCTCAGGTGACTAATGTTGACTAGCCTTTGTATGCATTTATGACGGGTGATACCGGTGGGGCAGGAAACGCTCGCCTTTGTTCGAACTCCCGGTATCGCCACTGTCTCATAGTGATTCATAAGCACATCTTTGATCTTATTTACAGATAGCTGTCATACAGCAGCAATATTGATGAGATAAACAAACAAACACATCCTCATAACATCGACAATCGACTCTTACGTTTAGCAGTGATTTCTTACGATGTAGAGAGGTTTTGTCGCTTTTATCTATATGCGTATCGGGAGCTTGTAACATGTGTCGGTATAAGATACGCACTTCGGAACAGTCTCTTCAGTTTATAAAGTGCAAACACTGGGAATAAAAGCCCAGAAGAGTGATATTATCTTATACCGCACTTCCTCGAATAAACGCTAGCACAAATATTTCTTCAGACACTCTTTACCCAATCCTCTGTATCTACAGAGCATGCATTTCGGTAAAGCTGCACTAATCCCTGGATCCAGTCATTATTATCGTCCTGAATACAGTTAATGGGTAGAAAGTGTCCGAATAATACATACACACACTGTATTGAGGAAGTACGGTAATTTGGGATCATCTGACAGGTCAAACGAGAAACGAAAAAGGGGAGAGGTAAGAACTTTGATAAATTGCAGTGATATCGATACTGTGGAAAGTTTAAACATGTGTACGCATTCTACAAAGTGACTGCAGATCAACACGTAACTGGTCGTGTTATTTCGCGGGTACGAGTTATGCACTTTGAACCGGGAAGAATTTTCCGAGTCGTTGGTAACGAAATTATGAACTGTTATCTACACAACTGGGTGCAGTGTCGAGGTCATCAGGTGTGCAACCAGTGCACTAAATCTGGATACATCAAATTATGTGTATGGGAGATTTTGTATCAAGGTAGAAAATGTAAAGTGTTATAAACCACTAAGATCGCTGACCCGAGAATCGTAGTTAATGAGTAGTTAGCGTGGTCTGTGAAGTGTAGTCTCGGTGAGCAGTTACTATGGTCTGTGAAGTGTAGTCCTGGTGAGCAGTTACTATGGTCTGTGAAGTGTAGTCCTGGTGAGCAGTTACTATGGTCTGTGAAGTGTAGTCTCGGTGAGCAGTTACTATGGTCTGTGAAGTGTAGTCCAGGTGAGCAGTTACTGTGGTCTGTGAAGTGTAGTCCAGGTGAGCAGTTACTATGGTCTGTGAAGTGTACTCGAGGTGAGCAGTAACTGTGGTCTGTAAAGTGTAATCCAGGTGAGCAGTTA